TTTTTTTCTATTCTGCGTGTGTGTGTGTGTGTGTGTTTCCAACGTTCTGTGAAAATTTGTATCATCATGATATTCTGGATTGAATTTTGATGCTTTACTTTTGTTTCTTGAACTGTGTTTTTTGGTTGTGGCCTCTTTGTCTTGTGATTTATTTATTTGTTTGTTTAGTTCTTATGCCTGTTTTTCTGTAATTTCAACTCTTTCTTCCATCATTTGTAGCTTCTTGGGACTCCACGTCAGTATATTTCTTCTACCTTCCTCTCTCTGAGGTATTTATTTGGTCTGTGCCCTGGTCTCCTTTTATAGGTGATGGCTTGCTTAGTTCTTTTTCATGATATTTGAACTTGTCTGCTATTTTCTTGACATAATATGAGGTTCTTCTTGGCATGTATGAGGCATTCTGATGTGTCTAAGTAAGTAGTTGTCAGTTCCTTATCTTTATTATGCTACTGGTTGATTTGCAGAGTCTAATTCTTGCCCCTAATTCAGTTTCCCAGTGACCATTTTCTCTGCATTGGTCTGTTCCTCATTTTCTCTGGCACATTTTTTAAATCCAGTTGTCCTTCAAGAAGCAGGGAGCTGGAGTCTCCTTCTTTGCCCAACTATGATTGGTCTGGTTCTCTTTCCTTTCCCGTATTTGATGAGAGGGGTCAGTTTCCACCAGGGATAGGCAAAATTAACTGCTTCTACCTATATTCTCTCCTGAGGCTTGACTGAAATTATTGTCTCCCCTTTGGGCTGATAATGCCTCAGGGGAGCTGACTAAGACCCAGATAGGCTGACTAGGACACTTTTCTCACCAAGTCTTGATGCAAAAACATGTATGTGTTTTCTCTGATAGCTGTATTGGAGGGGTTGTTTCTTCCTGAGCAGAAATAGTATCTAGGAGCTGAGAAAGTCCCAGGAATGCTGCCTGAGCCTCTTTCCTCCCCAGGCCTCTGTGGTCAGTTGGTGCTCCCAGTGTACAGGTGGCCTATGAGGCACTTTCCTCACTGCTGGCTGATCTAAACAGCCAATAAGGCTTTCAGGTGGAGATGGAGAATTCAGAGTCTCTGGAGATTCAGTGGATTTATGGTGACCCATGAGACTCTTTTCTTGATCTGGCTTCACATAGCAGTCCCCTCTCTGCTGGCTGAAACAATTTTGACACCTGATTGAGTAACAGCCAGCAGGGCCCTTCTTTCTCTGATAGCTGCTTCCCCAGAGGTATTTTTAATGTTTACCAATCTGTAGGACTCATCTTCCAACATCTTGAAATATGTTCTACTAGAGATCAAATTGTTATAGATTGTATAGTATTCAAACAAAGAAACAGAGAAAACAAACAAACAAACAAAAAAAACAAACAACCCAGTCAAGTGTATACTAAGTAAATACCAAAAAATTCAAGAAGTTACAAAGTAACAACTCAAAAACTGAACTGGCATCAAATTGGAACCAACTCCTAGTTAACCCCATTTGGTTTATTTGCCTGTAAATTGCACAGGAGGAGATTGATCATCTTTTCTGTTGCAGCTGGTGTTGGGTTTGAATCACTACAAAAGTACAAACTTTGGGTTAACATAATACAATATCTTAGGAAATATGTCACCAGAGCTCCCCCAACAGAGTCACAGCCACATTAAAGCAGAAATAACATGGACATGGGATGTTTTCCTTTTCTTGACTATCATACTCATTGATGTGACTTGGAACTTACTAATAACTGACTTTTCAGCAAGTTTTCAAAGGCTGTGAGTTGTACAGGAGGAGACTGTCCATCTTTCTCCCACAGAGCAACTAGTAGATTTGAATTGCTTGCCTTTGACAGGGTAACACTACTATTCACCAGAGGTCTCTGGATTGACGATACATGATTATTTTTAGGTGAATAAGTCACAATCACAATATAACAGTAAAATAAATGGATATGTTGTATATCTAAATATTTCTCTTTTTGGTTGTTTTTCTATATTAGTAAAATGATTTACTTTATGTTATTTATTTTAAAGCTATGATTTGAGTGAATGTTTACAGAGAAAAGTTCTTTTACATTTAATCATTCCTATATATTTTGTTTTATTACATTAATTAGAATAATAACAATATAGCAGGACAATTTTCATTTTATCTCTGTCATTTTTTTTTCATTAATCTGAGTTACCCTTCCAGATTTTTGAGCCTTAGTCTTGGGAATATGCTGCCATTTTGATATTAAATTATTGTTTATTCTAAGGAATAATCTTTCTGATATTTTGTTCATCTTTTGATGTTGTTATGTGCTGTTAAGTTAGAACTGACTCATGGCTGATCTTCCAGTGATTTTTCAAAGGTGGTATATTGCACAGAAGGAGATTGTCCACTATTCTCCTGGGAAGTTACTGTTGGATTTTAACTGCCTGCCCTTATGTTGGCAGACTGACTATCTACTAGCTTCCTTTGTATTATTTGAAAGAAAACTGAGCCCCACTGATGTGTTTGTTGAATTTTGGGAGACATTTTTCCTCAAGTTTGAAGTTTGACATCCCTAGGGTTCCACTAGTCTCTATTAGATTAGTAAACCTGGTCCTCTTGGTTTTGTTTTTTCCCCATATACCTCCCCTCTATTTAAGACTGTGATTCTCTTCTTAAAAGTGGTCAGCAGTGGTATCTAGATATTATATAGTTGGTCTGCTATAAGAATCCATTTTGTTTGATCCATCCGTTCTTGCACCTTAGATGACTTCTTGTAGGATTTTAAGATCTAAGTAGCTATTCATAAACTTAAAACTCTCAAATGGAGCACAGTTTTATTCAGGCATCATATATTCTTCTAGTTCTAAGGTTGGAGAAGTAAAGGTTCATGTCGTCCATAAATTTTGCACCTTAGACAACTATTTGCAAGCACTTAAATCCCAGATTGCTGCTCACCAGAGTATGGTACAAAGCATCTGGAATTTTATATCAATGGCTTTGATGTCCTCAGAAATTATAGTCCCCAGGCATTATTACTAGCTTATGATTTCCCAAGAATGTTTAGTTATTATTAAGTTTACATAATTTTGCCTACTGCCAGCACCCCTATGTAAATGGAGAAGAAGATCCTGGAAGAGATAAATTGACACTGACTGTGGCAATAGGAGCATGTGTGTCAGTACAGTGAGATTAGCTCAGACTAGGGCAGGGTTCAGGGCTATTGTTCATAGGGTAACGAAGATTAATAATTGATTTGATGGCACATAATAACAATATAAATAATAAAAAATGGAATGTCCCAACAATCAGGTACAGGCTCACCACACTGTGCCAAGAAATCTAGAAGGCAGAAAGCTGGCCAATAGGTTGGAAGAAATCCTTTTTCCCATTCCCAAAAGTGAGTGATCCAACAGAAGGTGGAAATTATCAAGCAATGCTATAAATATCACAAATAAGTGATATTTCTGAATATTACTAAAAACCAGCTGGATCAGTACACTGACAGAGAACTGTCAGAAATTCAAGTTAGATTTATAAGAGCCTGGAATGTAGGAAAAATTTGCTGAAATAAGATGAATCTTGGCTGTAAACAAAGAAGAGCAGAAAGATGTTTATCTGAGTTTTATTGACTATGCAAAAAAAATTGCTTGTATTGACCACAATAAATTACAACCAACATTGAGAAGAATAGAAATCACAGAACACTTAACTGTGCTGTTGCAAAACCTATACCTAGACCAAAAAGCTGTTCTTTAAAAAGAATAAGGAAACTTTGCATGGTTTAAAAGCAAGAACCTTATACATGAGAGATGTATGCTTTCTCCATATGCATGTTGAACAAATCTTTTGAGAAGTTGTACTTTATGAAGAAGAATGTGGCACCACAATCAAAAGATGAACTCATCAACAATTTGCATTGTGCAGATGATACTACTTCTCTTGTTGAAATTGAGGAGGATGTAAAATGATTGATGTAGAAGAACAAAAAATGCTCTTCAATATGAATTACATCTAACACAAAAGAAACAAAAATATTCACAAATGGACAATAGGCAACATAATGATGCTGTAATTGTTGTTGATATTAGGTGCCACTGACTTACAGTATGACTCATAGTAATTCTATGCACTGCTGACCTAAATGCTGACCTATTTCTGTACTATGCTTATATTCTCTGACACACTAGAGTGGAATCATTTCAATCCATCTCATTGAGGTCTTCTCCTTCACTGACCCTTCAACTTTCCAAACCTGATGTCCTTTTCCAAGGAATCTCCTTGCATAGCTACATTAGAAAGTATGAAAGCTGAAACTTTAATCTTCACTTCCAAGGAGCATTCTGGCTTCACTTTTTCCAAGACATCTTGATTCGTTGTCCAGCTTTCTGATTAAGAGCATGGAGATGGAGGATAGACTGGAGTTGTCAACAATTCCATCTTACTTGGATCTACAATCAACATCCTGGGTACCAGCAGTCAAGAAATCAAAAGACATATTCATTGGGAAAGTGAACTGCCAAAGACCTTTCCAAAGTGTTCAAAAGCAATGATGTCAGTTTAAATGTGTGCCTCATTCAAGTAATTGATTTTCAATTACTTGCTATGCATCTGAAATTTGTACAATGAATAAGGATAGGAGAAGAGATGCTTATGCCTTTAGATTGTGGTGATGGACTGCCAAAAGAACTGGGTGTCAGTCTTGGAGAAAGTGTAGCCAGGTTTTTCCTTGGATGTAATAGTAAAGCTTCATCTAATATACTTAAGGTTTATTGTTAAGAGGGGCTAGTCCTAGGAAAAGGACACTATATTTGAAAGGTAGAGGGGCAGCATAATAGAGGAAGAACCTGAACAAATGGATTGATACAGTGACTGTAACAATGGGCTCAAGTGTATCAGAGATGATAAGGATGGTTCAGGATAGGGCAAGATTCAGATCTGTTTTCACAGGATTACTAAGAGTCATAGTGAACTCAATGGCACAAATATAAATACAGACATAGTCTGCCTAACCCTTGTAATGTTGTGGATAATGTTCAGTAAGTGACAGTGGTGTCCTTTTCCAAAAGCTATTTTTGTAAGGTAATAGAGATGCATTTTTTGATCATATTCTGCAGAGCTTGTTTAACTTGCTTATTTCTTAGGGTATATACAAAAGGATTTAAGAGAGGTGCAATTGAAGTGTTGAGCACTGCTATGCCCTTGTTTAAAGCTACCCTCTCCTCTGCAGAAGGTTTAATATACATAAAAATGCAGCTACCATAAGAGATGGAAACAACAATCATATGTGAGGAACAGGTTGAAAAAGCCTTCTTCCTCTGTTGAGCAGAAGGGATCTTCAGAATTGTTCTTATAATGATTGTGTAAGAGAGGACCACCAGTGCCAGTGTAATTAACAAGATGATAGTGGCTGAAATAAAACCTAACAATTCTATGGTCCGTGTGTCAGTGCAGGAGAGTTTCAGAAGAGGTGAATAGTCACATCCAAAATGATCAATACTATTGGAATCACAGAATTCCAATCCCAAACCCATGATAAGTCCAGGAGAGATTGCCAACAATCCAGCTAGCCAAGAGATAATAACCAATTGGTTACACACTCTGCTGTTCATAATTGTTGCATAGTGAAGAGGTTTGCAAATGGCTACATAGCGGTCATAAGACATGGCAGTCAAGATGAAAAACTCTGATGCACCGAAGAAGATGGCAAAAAATAATTGTGTCATACAAGCATCATAAGAAATCTTCTTATTCCTAGTGGCAATGCTGAACAGGTACCTAGGAATCCAGACTGATGTAAATGACAATTCTAAAAATGAAAAATTCCGAAGGAAGAAATACATTGGTGTTTTGAGTGTTGAATCCAGTAGGGTGAGGAGAATAATTGTCATATTTCCAATGATACTCAATACATAGGTTAGAAATAGAAAAAGGAAAATTACTATTTGCCAGTTATTATCATCTGTTAGTCCTAAAAGTATAAATGTTGTCACCATTGTATGGTTTTTCATAATTAAATGTTGTCTCAATTTCATCAGAGCATGGAAAAATTATTTGCACATTTTAAAAATGTTTTACTGAACAGAAGTTTAAAAAATAATATGAAGAAAAATAACTCAAGTAAAATGCATGGGGGTTTTTTTGGCTCCCATTATGTTAATCATTTCATGTTTTATCAGAATGTAGAATTAATCCTGTTTAACCTCCTTATTTTTCTACATACTTTTTTCACATATATTTATTTTGCTGAAAACTGGCATGCTGTTACTTAATAAAAGCCAAACCCAAACCAAACCTACCACTTTTGAGCTTATTCAGATATATGGGACCATAACAGAACTGCCCCATAGGCTATTCAAGGTTATAAGCCTTACAGAAGACTAATGCATTATCTTTCTCCCAAGGAACAGAATCAACAGTCTCAGTTAGAAGCTCAATGCATTCATTCACTGCACCAGGAGGACATTTTTACCTAATAAATATTTTTATTGTTGTGATGGTGTACCATCTTGAAGCTGACCCTCCAGTCCATTTTCAAAGACTGTTAATCATGTGGGAGGAAATTGTTCACTTTGCTCCCATGGCCTGGTGGATTTGAACCTCATTCCTTTGAGTTGGGAGTATGAGACCGTACCACTAAGCCATCAGATGCATCTGTAAGTTTCCTTTGTCTAATTTTTTTTCCAAGATGCTGAGATGGATCTTCTGCAATATCTACAAGAAAGTTTGTTTTTATTTTTTTTTTAGTTCAGACTAATTATATTTAATGTTAAAATGATAGCTCAGTGTTCAATGTTTTAGCATGTTATGTCTATGCTGTATTTTTAAAAATTATTATTTTCTGATGATATTTTTCTACTCAATCTTTGTTACTATGAGCCTATAATTACAATGTCTTTAAAAATATCAAAATTTAGACTTTTGGCTATGTAAAAATTACTATATAAATTCCAAGTTTAAATTTTACATGATATATGGAATTATTCAATTTTCAGTTAATCTCAACTTCATTAATAACTTTACAAATGTAAGAAACACTAATTTCTTTAATTAAATTAAAAAAGGGATGTGTACCAGTTAAATTATTAATAAAGTTTATTGAAAATTTCTGTTTATATGAGTATTCTAGAGTACAAATGCAAGTGTTTTTTCAGATACACAAGCTATAAGTTTATAACTAACAAATATTTGCACTGATTGAAATTCTGAATTATTTTGATCATTTGATCTAGTACTCACAATAAAATGGATTCAGCAGTAATTACTATGTATACATAACAAAAGAATACTGAAAATACTTACCATAATTCACAAAAGGTTTATTGACTGATATTTTGTAGTGTGTTCTTTATCTTAAAGATAATGAAATGATTTTTTTCTAAGTATGTATTTTTCAAACTCAAAATTTCTTTGGTTCCTCCAAATTGTTAGAGATCTTGATCATATGAAAATCCAGGAACATTTAACAATTGTCAACTGCGTAGTATATATTTCTCTTTCCATCCAGCATACAGATGGCATTCAAAGATAAAGTTCTGACTTTTAATAAAAATATATGATATCTGAGTTTCTCTCAATCATCTAATAATTAAATTCTTTTGCAAGGAAAATAGGGGTTTTTTTTACTAAATTTTCCGATTTTTTTCTCTTGAAGATACTGCAGTAAATTTTTCTTTGCCTTTTGTATTACACAGCGTATTTATTTAGGTAAAAGGCCCTAGGGATTCTAATGGAAAGTTTGAAACTAATTGTATTTGCTATGAACCTAAAAAAAAAAAAAAACACCACCAAAAAAACACAACCCACATAAACAGAGTAAATGAAGTAATCTTTATGTAATCTATCGGGAAATATGCAAGGTTAACGGTAAAATAGTGTTAATCTCCACAGGGAGAATTAAAAGTTTTAGTTACTATCTTCATCAAGAACAATAAAAATGAGAAAAATGTGAACCCAAATTTAGAATCATAAAAACCTCAAAATAGATTCATTGGTTTATGTGATTTATATTTTGCTCCTGTGTTTATTTTTCCCATTTCTTTTTTCTTACCTTCTGCTTTCATTTCTTTTTAGCTTTCTTTATTCATTTCCCCTGTTGCTCTTCTCTTTCTCTTTCACTTCTTTTTATCTTTTTGTTTTCTGTTCTAATTGCTTTCCATTTTGTACTCTTTTTTTCTTTTTTTGGTCTCTGTATTTTCTTTTAGCATCCAATCTTGGGAGTTTGGGGGGGGGATGTTTTCTGTTGTTTTATAGTATTATCCTTCTTTGATTCATCTGATGACAGATAGCATAAATATTTAGGCACACATATATCTCCTGCAATGTCTCCCATCAGGCAACTCTAAACAATAGGTCCTGCTCTACCAGAAAACACTACGTAACATAGGCATAGTCTGCCATCAGCTACATTATGTAAAGAGTGAATAGAGAACTGAACATAGATCATTTTCCTCTGTCACATATATAGTTGTTGTCATTGTGTACCTTTGAGTTAGAACTAACCCATAGTTTACCTTCCAGAGGGTTTTCAGAACAGTTAATTGCATGGTAAGACATTGCCTATTCTCCTTTGGAGCAGCTGGTGGATTCGAAGCGTGTGCCTTTGGAATTACAGCACAGCTTCTTTCCACCAGGCCAGATAAAACAATACTGTAGTTAGTGTCAGAAATCTTGGCTTTATATCCATTGCATTAGCCCTTGTTGGGGGCATGGTCTACAGGAACACTGCTCCAACATAAAAGTCTGCTGAATGATTGAGGAAACTAGAGCTTTATTTATAAAGGTGAGTGCATATAAGGCTGAATTTGTTAATTGAAACAAGTCAACTGGTATCTCATTGATTTCTGGGGCTATATTTTTTGTCAATGCCTTCAATGCCTTCAGCTTCCTCCTTCATTACTTTTGGATATTGCTTAAATAGTACTTTCTGAAAATTTTCAGTGTCAATCACTTCTTTTTGGGTACAGTGACTGTATATTTCCTCCATCTTCTTTCGATTCTTCCCAGGTCATTTAATATATTGTCCACGGCAATGAATATTCTTTGAATGAACACTCAAGAAAACAAAGGATGTATTTGTAATTGGCAAATGTGTTGCCAAGGACTTTAAAGTATTAAAAGAAAAGTGTCCATTTTATCTTTCAACATGACTTTTCCTAGCCATTGTTTGACTTTCCTGTGTAGATAGTTGTGCTATGCAAATATTATGCGAATGTATTATGTTTGCCTATTCATGAAGAGATTGGCTATCTTCCATTCTATAAGGGGATTGGCCATCTCAACAATCCAAGGGGATTGGCTACTCTTGGCATTGAATTGAGTAAGCCAACAGTGAGAATCAGACAGATCTTTCCCCAACAAGGAAGATGAAAAAGACTTAACCCTATCACCAGAAAAGTAATCTCGCCACCAGGAAAAGAGTATCCATGGAAGAACTAGAGACCCAATGTCAGATGGTGCTACCTTGGGATAGCTACTGCATTGTAACCCAAGCTAAGGGCATTTGCCCAAGTTTGTTGAATGTGTCAGGGTGGGAGGCCATAATTCTCAGGTCTGAAATCTTTTTAACACCTGCCTATAGCCATGAGTCTCAAGGCCAAGGTGCCTGTGAGCGTATTTCAGGAGCCACCTGACTGCATTCTGTTACTAATCTGGAGTATAAACTTTTGACTTTCCTAATGTGGCTCTGTGTGGCCTATGAGACAACACACCAGATTTTTAATCTAGCAAAGCAGTAAGTTGGTGTTGAGATGAATAGAAAGAGGTATAGGAACAGGGGGACATGTCTGACCTCACAGGAATTGGTTGTGTGCTACTGACACTGTGGAAAAATTCCCCTTTGTTAAGTGGATAAAGGTTAGACATGGCCATCCCCAGGTGGTCCTCTTCTTATAGTTAGGATGCCACTGTAAGGACCAAAGTGTGCCTGCCCCAGTCCATGAGGATTTTTATAACCTCTACTCACATGAAAGTTGCAAAAATGAATAGGAATGACTAGAGAAGAATTGATGCTTCTGAAATGTCATTGGGAAAAATATGGAATATATTCTGCAAAAAGTAAAAGAAAAATAATCTATCATGGGAAAAGTGCAGTAAGAATTATAGATATAAGAAAGGATGGCTAGGTTTTGCCTCATATAGTTTGAACATGATAATAAGAGAGACCATTAACTGGAGAAAGACCTCATGCATTGTAGCATGTCAGTTAAAAAGAAAACACTCAGTAAAATATATTGATACATTGACTACAACATTGGGCTCAAGCACAGATCTTCCCATTTCCTTTACTCACCCCCCTTCCACCCACCAAATTGTGAGACCCTATGTCTTCCTACCTGTCCATCCTCACTTCTCTGTTTCCAACCGTGAACCCCTTGAATTCCCACAAATGTTTTTACTACGTAAACTTCTGTTTTTACAATAATATTCCCATGTTTTATTGATCTGAGTTACTTCACTCAGAAAAATGCCTGCCAATCTCTCCCAAGTTATGTAGTAATTTCTGAAATTATTGCTTCTGAGTGATGTGTAGTGTTTAATCATGTAAATTTAGGACAATTTCTCAATCCATTCAATTGTAGCTACACATCTGGGCTGTTTCCATGTTCTTCTAGTAGTGAATGATGCTCCTGTGAATATTGTTGTTCAAATTTCCATCTGTGGCTCAGTTCTAATTTCCTTGGGACATTTTCCTAGGAGTGGAATAGCTGGGTCATATGGAATAGTGGATCATATAGAATTTCTACATTCAGCTCTTTGAGGAAATGCCATACTACCTTCCAGAATGGTTGTACCATTTTACAATTCCACCATCAGTGTATGAGAACTCCTATCTCTCCACATCCTTTCCAACATTTATCACTTGCTGTCCTATTAAACTTTGCCATGACTATTGGGGTGAGATGTGGTATCTCATTGTGGTTTTTAATTGTGCTTTGGATTTGCATCTCTCTTATTGCCAGTGATTTTGAGCTTTTTTTCATATGTTGGCTGTCTCAATGCCTTCCTCTGT